GCGAAGCTCCACCTGCGAGGAAAAGTACGGCCTGAATGCGGCTCGAATGGATGGCCTCTACTAAGGCACGAACCCTGATGTCCATGTTTCCATTTCCCGGCCCCTCCATCGCTCGAGTAGTCACTCGATCCAGGTTTTATCGGTGCGGACGATGTCTTGGGGTATTTACATACATACCACAATCCTTGAGATATTTACATTTAAACAGCTAATTACTTATGAAAATTTGTATTTCACTTTTAAAAATAAAATAATAGTCACTTTTTCTTTGCAATTTCTAAGATTTGAGTGTTATATTTATAAATATAAAATTTTAGTTGATAAATATATAAATTCATAAGAATTATGGGGTGTGCATGTAATTTTTTTTTTTAAAATAAGTAGATCTTTTATTGGTATATGTGTTTAGGAGTGATTTTAGAGTAGAATTTTCATTGTGTGGATTTGTTGCGCACTCTTGCAGGTTAATCTGAGTTTGAGCTCGAAGTCTCGAACTAACTCAAGTTTGACTCACAGGTCGAGCTCAAGCTTAACTTATCTTATTAACATAGGCTCAAGCTTGATTTATGAACTTGAGTTATTGCCTCAAATTTATCAATTTTTTTTATAGAAAAGCTAATTTGTAAAGGGAACTAGTTTTAAATAATCAACAAAGGAAGTCGTGACGAGCTCGCTGGTGAAAAGAAGATTATGAGAAAGTTGTGGTGGGAATGCCGGAGTGGCATCATGCCTCTACATTGAGAGGTGGGAGAAGATGACATTGAAGATGTCGGTCATAAAGTAGCAACAAGAGCTTGTCAGAGAATGGAACTAGCGATATTTATAGAAGAAGAGGTCTGAGACTTGCACAAGAAGTTTATAGTTTACTTATTTATTGTAATTGAGCCGACTTGTTAGCCAAGAAGTTTAGACTTATCAAATTTGAAGTTGAACTTATTTAATATACAAATTATTATTTAAGCTCGAGCTCGAGCTCATTATCTAACAAACCTATACCTCGTCAAACTTAAAGTTGGACTATTTATTTTTTAATGTATTTTATTCAAACATTTCGTACACATTCCAACACATTTTTTTCTCCAAAAGATGTAACAAAACTTACACTTTAATAAGATGAAAATAAAATCAAATCATAATTACATATTATCTTTACGCTTTCTAAGATAATGCTATGTTTCTCATTGTTAAGCATAGGATGTAGAATATTAATTTATGCTTAACATGGAATACAATTCTAATGAAAGAGAATAATGTACATAAATGTAATGCTAAAAGTGTATGTATATACCTAGTTATGTATGTGAGTCATCATATATGTGCGTATCCCATAAACATTCATAATATTTGTATTATAAGATTAAGCCCTCGCTCACTTAAATGTAATATACGCATTGGTATTTAAATTTATTTTATTTTCATTTTATTGAGTTGTCGTAGTAAGTAACATAAAAATCATTATGATAATTCTTCATGTCCATATGATGATAAAAAGCCCATATAAGTGGCGACCATCTCTACATTCAGAATCACGAGGATCTTTATATAAACATTTATAATATCAATGTTTTCTCTAAAGTTCCATATAAAGACAAGCCTCTAGAGTCAATTAAATTCTAAATGGCCAAAGTCACTTAAGAAAACTCTCGATAAAGATCAGGGGTTTCGTAAACAAGATATTCAAAGTTTGGGTTTACAAGATAGTTTGTAAGGAATAATAAGTGGGAAATGATCAAGTTAAAACAATTATTTAAGAATCAAAGGAGTGAAAACTGGGGGATGTCACAGGACATAGGCGAACCTCAACGACTTCCCAAGTTATCCTACTATTGGGCTTTATATTTTCGAAGCAAAATCATTTATGTTCAATCCTGCCAATTATTAATTATAGGATTTATACTTGCATAATATCTGATTATGACAAATACCCTAGAATATAGGAAGATTTACGTCGTATCGGACAACAATCTCAGAATCCTAATTATATATATATATATATAT